CAGCATGTCCTACACACATAATATACTAGCATAACAATTCAATTTTAATTACCTCTTTATCTTGTATAACTTGATATGTATTAAATCTATTTTATATTGATTTACTTTTATTTTCACATTAATCTGGGTATATAACCCAAAATAATTAATGAGTGGTATATTTTTCCTCTGATAAGCAATTTATATTTGTAACCCATGAAGCAGCCTCATGAAATTATGGTTTAAAATAATCTTAACCAGAAATAATACGAGGTCTAGAAATATTTAAGTTGGAAAAAGAAACACAGTTACTTGCTTTATATGGCCTGTTGGGGTATCTATTGTCATATTTGGCAATTATTTCAATGTATTTTTAGACCCCTAGAACACTGCCCAATATGATGCCATAGAATCATGTCCTGTTTGACCAATAAAAGAATCTATACAGCCTCAAACAGTACTCGGTTTTCACTGAGGGAATAAATTATGTCTGCATCATTTATATCTGATAACAGCTCACTTCAGCAAACGTTTATTGTGTTTAGAGAATCTGCTATTTAATGAAATGCCAATGGTGAATAAGATAACAGTTTGTGCCTCCTCCCCTTGCTAATATCTTACAATCTACTTTATTTTGGAATATTTTCATAAATATTCACACAATGTAATGGGAATAAAGAAAAGAAAGATGTGATTCCTTCTGGAATCACATTTATCAAGAGGTCTTCCTGTTAAAAATGGGTGGGGGGAAATTGTATTTTAAACTAACAGCTTGGACTTTATAGGGAATGTATCATCTTTAAAGTTTTAAGCACAGGTGTGATATGTTCAGATTTGCATTTGAGACTGAAAATTAGCAAAGTGCTTTACAAATGGTAGAATTCAATTCATGTTAATAGGATTGATGAATCTCTGTCACAAATACATTGATCCTCCAAACAACACGTTAACTCCCATTTTAATATATAAGTGTATTAAAATGAGACTTATGTTGCTAATAATAACTAACTGCAAATATGAAATAAATTATACTCTCATCTCTGTGTCTCTGTCTTTGAAAATGCTATTTCTTTTCTGGAATGTTTTATCACCCTAATTTCTGTTACTTTTTAAGACAGGTGATACCTTATCCCATTATCAACACAGGTGAGGTCTCCTCTGTCACAGCATCTCTCAAAGAGTATTAAAACTATTACTTGTCCATCCTTCTGCCAAATATCAGTCTCCTGGATGGCAAGGCCTATGCTTCAAGCTGTTTCTAAAAGCCTGAATACAGTAAATGTTCACTGGATAAACCAAAGAAATCATAAACACAAAATAAAACTATCTGGAACTCTTCTATGTGATACAAAATTAAACATTATATTTAAATAAGAAAATATTGGTTGACTTTCAGAACTGATTTTTATTTTTCTGCATACCTAAACCGAACTAAACAAAAATTCTTGCCAATTTTAATGAATATGTATTGTCCTCTGTCGAATAGTGTTCCCCCAAAATTCATGTTTACTCAGAACCTCAAAATGTGGCCTCGTTTATAAATTGGGTCTTTGTGGATGTGATTAGTTAAGATGAGGTTATGCTGGTTTAGGGTAGGTCCTAAATCCAATGACTGGTGTCCTTATAAGAAGGCCACGGGACGGTACAGAGACAACGACACACACAGAGGGGAGAAGGCCAGAGGCGGAGACTGAAATGATACAGCAACAAGCCAAGGAACACCAAGGATTGCTGACCCCACCAAGAGCTGGGGAGAAACATGAAATGATCTCTCTCTCTCTGAGCCTCCGAAGGACCCAACCCTGCTTATACCTTGATTTTAAACTTCTGCCCTCCAGAACCATGATAGGATACATCTTGCTGTCTAAAGCCACACAGTTTGTGGCAATTTATTACAGAGACCCCAGGAATCTAGTACGTATACACCTGGTGGCATCTCTTGCCTAAGCAGAACAAGCACTGTGGGAGCCAGACTGTGGTCCCTACAAGGGGACGCTGTCACTGGAGGATGCAGATGTGCCATTGGCACAGCATCAAGAGAACCAAATTCTTTCTTCTATTTCTATTTGGCTCCTGCTCATTTTTTTTCCTCAGCCTGTGCCAATTTTCCACCACAATTTGCATGGGGTGATATATTCAGGTTTTATTAATTATTCATCCAAATCAAAAGCATATGTAAAAATTACTCTACGTACGTGTATCCTGCTTTCCCAAGGTGCTGACCTTACTGTTAGGAAGACTCTTTTTAAAAGCTAATTTAGTATTTTTACCGTCAATATTGCTTACTACTTCAATCAATAAACTGTGTTTGGCTTTTGTTAATGAGTGCTTGAGTAATGAAGCCTACATGAGTTTTAGAAAGTATTAACTGAGACTTCTCCCTTTTGCTCCATCAAGTCTCTCCAGTACAGAGTAAGAAGATTAGCGTCACTGCTGGGGGAGACAGCTTACTGAGTCAAAAGACGCGAGACATGCTGCTAAGTTTCAAAAATAACAGCATGCACTTGTTTCAACTAAACTTGAGGGAAAACCAAATGTAGAGGGAGCAGAATAATTTAAAATGAGTTTTGATTTGTCGAAATTGGAATTCATATTATATTCAAGGCAAGTCAGGAAATCAAAACAATAGAAACCCTAAAGGCTTCAAAAAGCAGTGGCCTGGAACTAAACTCCACCCGGAACAGAAAGAACGTCTTACTGCAACCTTGAGAAGTAGCTAATTTCTCAGATGACAAAACGATCATGGAAGGACTGCATAGAGGATATATAACGAACACAAGGGGAATTGCAAGAGGCACACACTCAAACAGAAATGGTGCTCGTATTACAATTTTTCACTCTCTAGATCTTCCGGCAAACCTTAAAATAAAAGAAGCCCCATTCCCTCACCTGCAGGTTTAAAATACATCCCAGATAACCCTCTAAGGAGGTTCCAGAAAGAGTAGGCATGATCAAAGCCACATTTCTCCTTGCTGAGGAGAAAAAAACACAGTGCTGCTATTCTCTAGGAGGGCGAAATAGAAGGGTGTATGGAATCTACATGTCCCTACTCAAAGACACGATTCCCTTTCTCACTGAAAAATCAAACAAGCCATTGAGACAACAGTTCACTAAGTTCAAGAACAAATAGAGGGTCATCTTCCAAGGGCCCTCTCTAGTCTGAATTCAGTATAGAAAATTTAAATCAAAGTAACTCCTGGAAAGTTGTTCATGACAAATACGCTTAACATATCTTTTTCTTATTACAGATACATATTTTTTAAAGGCAAGACCTTTAAGAAGTGATTAGGTCATGAGGGCTCATGAGTAGATTTCTGCAATTATCTTGAAAGTAGGTTAAATATCACTGGAAAGCATTCGTCATAAAAGATGAATTTGGCCCACTTCTCCCTACTTTTTCTCTCTCTCTCTCATACTTGTGTTCTCTTGCCTTTCCACCTTCTGTCATGGGATGATGCAGCAAGAAGGCCCTCATCAGATGGGGGACTATTGACCTTGAACTTCCCAGCCTGAAGTCTGTAAGAAATAAATCTCTGTTCTTCATAAGTTACCCAGTCTCAGGTCTGTCATAGCAGCATAAAATGCACTATGAGAGCTAGAAAAACTAAACAGTTAGGAAGATGACTAGTCATTGTATTTTCGACAGTAAAAAGTTTCCAGGATGACCACATTTTTGTTTTCCAAACTAAGAAAAAAAACAGAGACCAACATTTTAAAAATAACTGTTCCATATTTTTTAGATTATAAAGGGGCATGGAAGAAAAATATCAAGAAGGAGATGTTTTGGTTCCTCTAAGTTGCACTGTCCAATATGGTAACCAATAGTGACACTATTTAAAATCAAATTCAAATGAATTAAAAGGAAGAAATTTCTTGCAAAAAACCTGATATCCCAATTTCTCTCTCTGTCCATACCCAGTATCCCTACTTCCACAGCCAACTGAAAGAACAGAAAGAAAAATTTCCCAAGAGGAGGAAAATTATTTTACTGGAGAATTCATGCTCTGAAACCAGTGTTTGCAAAACATGTGCTTGAAGATTCAATTTAGGATATCTAGAAGTCTCAAAAAATAAGAACAACTGGAGTCAAACTTTAAAACTTTCTGTGTTGATATTTCCTTCATAGAAGCAAATAAGCAAAGATAAGTTCTTTCTAGAAGAATCTACCATCAACCTTGGCCTGAAAGAAACTCCAGAGCTAAAGTTTTAAAGCAATTAAGGTCACAGTCAAGAAGATGGATAAGCATGAAGATGAGGATAAAAAGGATAGGCAGACAAGAAGGATAGGAAGAAGAAGAGGGATGAGGAGAAGGAAAAGGAGGAGGAGGAGAAAAAGAAGAAAACAGTACCACTGGCAAGAATGAGTAGAAACAATAGAGAGCAGAATTATAATCCCTAAAAATCCATATGTTGCATCATTAGGTATATGTAGAATGTATTTAAGAAATAAAAAAGGGAGGTTTAAAATATAATTAAGGGAAAAGAAACTCTTTAGGTGACCACGCAGATCTAAAAAAGCAACATATAAAATTTGTAGAAAGATATAATGAAATTGACTTTAAAACTCAGTGGTTGGCCTTAATTTAAGAACAGGCACAGCTGAAGAGAGACTTAGTGAACTGGAAGGAAGTTCTTCAGAACGTATCCAAAATCCATCATAAAGAATCAAAAAGATGGATAATAGCACAGGTTTCTCATTTTTAAATATTTCATAAGACTTCAAGCAATTTAATAAGCTTTGTTGTTTTAGTCTATTGAACAAAAAATTTGCTTTCCAAATCTTTTACTTAAGGTACAATTAGAATATTGTTACATGTGTTTGTTTCTGTGTGTAGTATACATTTATAAAATACAAACAGAAAAACAACCTTTTATTTTATATATACATATATATAAAATATAAAATAGAAGGTCGTTTATTGTCAGAGAAAGTAAGTAATGTTAAATAATTTTAAGAAAGATATTACTGCTTAAATGAAATTGACAAAACCTGCCACAAATTTAAACAATAGGATACTCACAGTAAGAACAGCCATAGACTTCAATTCTGAGCCCAATACGGCCCTCTCCGTTCCAATCTAGAGGCACTATGCGCACATAGCGGGCAATAATCGGATGCTGTAAGTCATGCCGGACCACACTATCAGAGTTGATATTTCCAGGAAATGCCTGGAAAAAGAAACAGAATTTTAAAAATTGGGGGAAAAATACTTTAGAAACAACCATGTGCTCTACATGCTAGAATAAACACAAATCTCCTTACCCAGTGGAAGGGTTTTAATATTCTTATACCATAAACAATTTGAAAAAACTTTATTGACTCCCATTATTAAAAAATAAGTCCATGAGTGTCCCTTTCTTAAAAAAAAGAAGATAAAAATAAGTCCAGTTTTAAGTGGGAAACGGGTCAGAGTTTCTATGGGCTCTTTCATTTGTGTAAATTTACATTAAAAGAATGAAACACTATATGGCACCCACTGTAGCATCCCATAAATATTTAAATTATGAGTTCTAGTATTTTGCATTTAAGTTACACAATAAACACTATTTTCCAGAATCCAACTATGCTGCTTTTTAAAATTCATTCCCATATTATCTTCACATACAACCATTAGAAATCTAAGACAACATTTTAATATCAGTTAGATAAGGAGAACAATTCAACATGTTGTGAAGAAGTCAGCGTTTTCTACCTTTTATTGGAATAGACACATTTAGTGAGTTTGTTCAGTGGGTCAGAAACATGTTAATTCCATTTTTCTCATTATAGAAGATTGTGTCAAAAGAGTAATTATCCATGAATCTTATCTGATACAGAAAGCTCACATTATCTTATTTTTTTTCCCCAGAGGAGAACAAATGGATTTTTTCTTTGCGCATACATAACATTGATTCAACAAGGATTTATAAACTATCTATTGCCTTATAAATATAGAGCAAGACAATATGGGAAATGTAGGGGTGTGTGGAGCCACAGACTCTACCCTCAAAATGATTACCATCTATTAATGATAATAGGGAAAATTCAAGTATAAAATTATAATCCAAGGGAGATTTAAAGAAGGAGATACAAATCAAATTAATGAGAGCTTGTGCTATTTTAAACATCAGCTATTTTAACTCTGTATATGTATTCTAGCTGTCTCTATATTAGATCACTTGAATTTTTAACACTATATTCTACATGAGATTTTTTTCTATATTTGTTTAAATTATCTCATAAGCACAGAAAAATTTAGAAGAAAATCATTTTTAAAATCATAAAAGACGTAACATAGGCACTATTTATATAGCTAGTCTGT